CAACTTATAGTTAGACCCCTAAAAGGCTAAAACTGATAAAGCATCTTCTACACCCCATTATTACGTGCACTTATAAGCCATCCTTTTAAGCAAAATGCAGAATGCAATTTACATTATGTTTCAAACTAAAAGAAAGTTAACAACTTAGATAATAATCAGAGGCGTTCGCATCAAAACAAGCAGATAATTTAATATCACAGTCAAGTTAGGGTAGGCGTAATAAATTTAAATCAGATCGAGCTATATTCTGCAACTTTTTTTCAACTTTTAAAGAAAGCATTGAATTAAGCATTTTTTATTTACCCTGATAAACTTCAACTAGCACACAAAATTGTTATGCATGCACCAATAGATCAAATTTATAGTTTACAATACATATGAATCCAAAACCTCATTTCATTTTAATCTGAAAACGAGAGCTTAAATAATCAAAATACTTACAAAAGCACGTTTCATTTTCATCTGAAAATGAAAAAAAAAACAGATGCATAATAATAACAGAATACTAAAATTAGATTAAATCAGATCCTTAACATTGAATAATTAAAAAGAACTATCAAGCTCCCCTTCGTTTCCCGATGAAATGAATCGGAAAGATTACAAACTAAATTAACGATATTAACATAAGAACAAGACTAACATTAGGTTCTGAAGCTGAAACTGACTTGGAAAATTATAAATTTCATTGCCGTAAATTTTCCTGTTGAGCAAACAAGATATTGGAAAAAAAAAAAGAAAAAGAAAAAGAAAAACACTAACTTCCATGAAGTTCCGTTTTATGGCGGAAGCGATCGAAATATTTTTCTTCACCGGAATTTTTGTTTGTTTCTCTTTTTTTCTATTGCTTTCAATAAAATTTAAAGCAAATGGTAAATTTTCATGGAGGGAGAAATTATGGTCTGAATTAAGTTACGGGGTGGAGGTGGACAATAAAAATTTTCTATTGCTTTCTAATATAGATTAGTTGTGATGGTTGAGTTTTATTGTATCTTCAAAGAAATTTCTTTGTAATTCATAATTTTGTAATTTTTTCATTGATGATAGTTTTAAAGTTACTATCTTTTGACAAGGTTATTAGTAGACTAATAAATATGTCAAAATCAAATTTATTGTCAGGTAATTATATTCATTTTATTTTATCAACTTATGAGTAATCATCATGATCTTATATCTAATGTTAATATTAAAAGTCTAAGAGAATGTATATAAATTATCATGTATAATGAGTTGTTTAATGAGTTGAGCAGCTCGAACTCGAATCGGTCAAAGCTCGATAAAAGTTCAACTCGAGTTGACTCAACTCGAACTCAAGCTCGACTCGAGACCCTAATGAATTAAGTCGAGTTAAGTCGAGCAAAGTCCAACTCGACTCGATAAGTTCATGAGTAGCTGTTAATTTTTTTATATATATATTTTTTGATAGTTATCTTAAAAATTTATTTCATAGACTCAAAAATTAAACATTATTTGGTATTTGGGTAAACTATAACAGTGACATAATTATAGCCCCTTTACATTTAAACCACTATTTTTGAATTATTGTCAATCATACCATCAAACTATTTAAATGTATTCAATAATGCTTCTAATCGTTAACATTTAACGAAAGTACTGACGTGGTAATTAATAAAAGTAATATAATTTACATTTAGTAAATTAATAAGTGTTCCACAACATTAATTATTTAACTTACATTATGAGGAATGCCAAAAAAAAGGGAAAACAAAAGTAACATTAGAAAAAAATCGAACCTAGCCTATTACGTAATATAAAAAATTTTACGCTTGTAATTCAAAATAAATATTATTAACTAATTAAAAATATTAAATTTAATTTAATATAAAAATATTAAATTTAATTTAATATAAAAATATTAAATTTGTTTTTATTTTAGATCTTATTTTAACTACATTTTTAAATATATATAATATTTATTTAATTATTAACTAATTATTAACATGTATTTAATTATTAATTAATAAGTTTATTTTTTATTAAAAAATAAAGTATACAATCATTTATATTTTAATTAATTTTTATTGGGTTATACAGTTAAATTGTGTAATTAAAACTCAATTTTAATCTTATACAAATCTTAAATTTTAATTTTTTTAAATCTTGTATAAACTAGTGTTTAACGACTCAAACCTTGACCTATTGGGAAATATAAAAATACTTAGCCAACCAAAACAGATGTAATTATTAGTTAATAATTAAATACATGTTATATATATATTTAATAATGTAGTTAAAATAAGATTTAAAATAAAAATAAATTTAATATGCTTATATTTTAAATTAAATTTAATATTTTTAATTAGTTAATAATATTTATTTTGAATTATAAGCGTAAGTTTTTTTTATATTTCGTAATGTGCTAAGGTTCGATTTTTTTACTGTTATTTTTTTTCCTGGCTTCTTAACAATATAAGTTAAATATTAAAAACAGTGAAACATTACCAAAATTTGTTGCTGGCGCAGTGGTAGGGGTGATGCTTAACTCCTTGGAGACCATGGATCAAATTTGGTGCCACATGTTACCATTTGATTTGAGGAATGAATTTTAAAATTAAATATTAATTAAATTAAGGAAAAGCTCTCCAATAATGTTGTGACATGTGTCATGATAATGTCACCATTGACACATTTCTTCATGTAATTGGAGCATTAAATTTATTTAATTAATTTTAAATTATGACTAATTTTATAAAATGTATAAGTAATGAGGACTAAATATGTAATTATACTAATTTTATTAACCACCACATCAACACTTTCATTAACTGTTAACGGCTAGTGGCCTGATTGAATGTATTTAAATGATAATCGAAATGAAAAGGGGTTATAGTTTGATGGTCACTGGTATAATTTGCCCTTGTTATTTTAATGTATTTGTGAATTATTACTTTGGAGTTTATACTTTAAAATTAATTCACACACTTTTTGATGATTTTCTTGTTAAATTTCTTAATTCATGTTTATTTTAAGTTCTATATAATATTAGTAGACTTTACCTATAGTTAAGAAAATAATGTAAAAAAGTTGGTGAGCTTAGCGAACAACAAGAAGAACAATAAGTATCAAACTTAATGAGTAACGAGTCGAGCAACAAATTTTCTTAATGAACACGAGTCGAACAATAATTTTTTTTAACGAGCACGAGTCTAACACTGCCCAACTCGCGATCTACTCGCTCGATAATCGCCCGTTAACTTCAATACATCATATTCACTCACTATATTTATTTAACTTCAATACATCATATTCACTCGCTATAATTTTCTGTTCAAAAAATGAAAAGAAAATAAAAAAAAAGGTAAGCCATTTACTATCGTCATAACTCAAAAAATTAGCTGACCTTTATTCTCATATGTAATGGGGTAAGGGGGAGATAGGATAATAGGCTGCTCCAACGCCAGGTTGAGAGCAACTTCCGTAGGAGACCTCCAAATTATGAAATATCCTCCGTAGGACTCGATCCCACAACCCCAAAGTTAAGAGCCTTGTGATCTACAAACTGAACTATCATTTCATTAACATCATAACTCACATTTTGCCATATATATAAATTTATTCCAACTCTAAGTCTATATTGATCAGGGATTCCTCATATCACTATATATCGATACTCACCCTACATTATATGCAGGCTGATTTTATAAATAAACTTTATAAATTATAATTCTTCATCTGAATCTCTTTTATCTTATATATTTTCTACCTATGACGAGTTGGTTTTGATCGCATCAAAATTTATATTTTCTTCTTGTTATTTGTAATTTGTCTTTCCCATATGTCATCTATAGGGCTAGTATTTGTCAATTATACCATGCTGTAAATTTTTTTAGTTGAATCAATATAAAATTTATAATTTAATATATCTTATAGGTTTACGTTACAAATAATTTGTTATTCCTAAGTAATGATTAAATTTGTAACATTTTATAATTGAGAGTTAAAACTAAACTTAAATGGTAAAATTGGTAAACAAAAAGATACATTTTTTTACAAGAATATATCGTTAGTTTCATATATATTCAGTTTGACTCATACTTGAGTCAACTCATATTAATTCGAATATCCAAAGGTTGATCCGAATCGAAAATTAATTGATTCAATTTTGATTTAACTTGAAAATTGAACGATCATATATTGATGTTAATCGAAAATTGTTCGATCTATTACTAACTCGACTCAAAAATTTGTTGATCATATATTAATCTTAATAAAAAAATCGATTGATATGTTATTAACTTGACTTGATATCCAACTCAACTTATCATATACCTAAATTAAACCCAAATCAACTCTCATCTAACCCAAATCAAAATTTAATCTATTGTTGAAACGGTACGATCCAAAACAACTTGACTCAAATTCAATCCGAACTAATCATCATCTCTAAATATTTTCAATAGATTGAATCTCTTAGAACTAATGTATCTGAACTTATATTTTCTTGTAAAGCATTTTAATCATAAGATCAAAGTGTGTGATAAAACTGAATTGAATTAGATATGAGAAATCAAAATAGTTGTTAAAATTACTTTTTATTAAATTTTTAGTTTTTTTTTTGATTTTTTTTGAAATTATTTTAAATTTATTATTAATAAAAATTAAAAATTATTTCAAAATCCACAATATTTTTAAATATATATTTTATGAAATTAAATTATTTAAGATAATTTTAATTTTAATTTTCAAAAATTAATAAAAATGGTTTTAATAGGAAAAATATTTTTTTAATTAAAAAATCAGCTTAAAGCCTTAACCGTGTGACCTTCTGGTTATCAATTACGAAATAATTATTCTCTTTCCCATTGAGTTTTCTTTAACTAAGAATCTAACTAAAGTGCTTAATCATTCACTTTATTTTATCTTTTCGTTTAATTAATTAATTTTTCAGTATTTCTAAACTACACTATTACTAGATTGCCTAAAATATTAATAAAAACTACACTTTTCAACACTTCAAATATTCATCAATCTATGATCAATTATAGACCCAAACATCAGGAAGTTTCCATTATTTTATACAAATAATCAAGGAGACGAGCCCCGTGTCGGTTTTTACCTCTTGCCTCTGCCCCCTTAGTTGGTCTACAAATAGAATAAGTTGCCAGGGTCCTTTTCCACTTCTTCACGCTACGATTTTGTTCTACCCTGACATTCTCCAGGTAAGTAACTTCCAATTGTTTTGATCTGTTTTGCTTGTAATTTTGCTATTGTCACCTGTGTTCTTCATTCTGTGGATCTTTCTTATAATTTACTGATTTGGTTTCATTTTCAACTTGGATTTTGGAATTTATCCTCGGTTTCCTGATTTTATGGAATTTTGGGTATTTGAAATTTTGGGTTTTGTTTTTGTTAGACAAAAATGTTTGTGATTTGAGTGATGGTTTTGGAAAGCCTTTGATTGGTGGAGATCAGGGGGTTTCTGGAACTTGAAAATTGAAATCCAATGGCTAGTGGATTATTTGTTGATGCTTGTTGGTTAAGGTTTTTTTCCCCCTTGGAAAGAGGTGACAGATATTGAATATTGAGACTCTCTCGAAGGTTTTTTTGGGCTACTTGTTCTCACAAAAGCAAAAACACATAAGTGGAACCATAGGTTTTCTTCATAAAGGAAAATACCTTTTTAATTTTTAATTCTTTGTAAATATTGTTTGATTTTGTATCCAAAGTTGTTTTTGCTTTAGTTTTCAGATGTGAAAGTAAATGGCAGAAATAAAAACTTGACTGTTCTTTCATACTATGGGGAAAAAAATTGGTTGATGTTTTGATGTAAGGCTCTTAAGTTTTCTAGTTCAGTATCGGGCTATATATATAGTGTTGTAAATTTTGGTGTACTAGCTATACAAAAAAGGGACCTTCTTCTTCCTGTTGTGTCTGCGAGTTGTGATTTTCTATTTTTTGGGTTGGAATTGTGGTACGGTCTGTATTTGACATCAAAAAAACTAAAAGAATGTGAAAAATTCTTCACCAGTTTTCATCGAGTGCTGCATGGCTATTGTGGTTGATGCCGTATAAATGGAAGGTGGATTTTTTTTTATAATTTCTCCAAGTCTATCACATGTTTTATGGGGATTAATGATTCAAACCTCAATGTTGAACCCGAAAATCTCTCATCGCCCTGCCATCTGCTATAGGCCCATTCAACCATCGGATTTAGAGATTTTAGAGCAAATCCACATTGATGTATTTCCTATCAGGTAAGAAATGTATCTGCTTTCTATGGAGGATTTTCAGTAAAGAATATTTCATGCATCCTATTCCTCAAGTAAATATATTGATCTCTTCAGGTATGAATCTGAATTTTTCCAAAATGTTGTGAATGGACGTGGTATTGTGTCATGGGCAGCTGTTGATCGCAGTCGACCCAATGGTCAAAGTGATGAGCTTATTGGATTTGTTACTGCAAGAATTGTAATGGTAAAGGATAGTGAGGTAGGCCATCTATTTCTGTAAGCACTAAGCAATAATACATTATTGATATTTGCTTGGTGGTTGACTAATGGCTTAAGCAGAGGTTTAAAATGTTTGAGTCAGACAGTAAGTAGGATCCATATGATAAAGAGTTATTTGTTATGAATCTAAAAATAAAAATATGCAAATGAATATTGCTGTGGGAAAAGAATAAGGAAATTCAACCTTTTGGTCCTTTTTTATTTCATTTTTAACTCCACCCCCCCAAAAAAAAAATCTCTTGGTTTTATAGTTTTTGAATTTTTTTTCAACCAACTTATACCTTGCAGATAACAGATTTGCTCAGGTATGACTCATCGAAGGGGGACCAAACATTAGTATATATTCTGACACTGGGAGTAGTAGATGCTTATAGAAATCTTGGCATAGGTAGGAGTCATTTTTTCTTCTAAAGATTCTTCTTTCTCCTTTTCCTTACCCATGTGAACAAAATTTTCTTGGTTTTGTATCAACAGCTACCACACTTATCCATGAGGTTATTAAATATGCTTCGAGCATCCCGGTATGCCGTGCAGTTTACTTGCATGTTATTTCTTACAATAATCCAGCCATTCATTTATACCAGAAGATGTCATTCAAGTGTATGCGGAGGTTGCATGGATTTTACTTGATCAATGGTCAGCATTATGATTCATATTTGTTCGTTTACGTTTACTACGTAAACGGCAGCCGTTCTCCTTGCTCACCGTTGTAAGTCTTCAATGTTTTTTGATCAAATATGTACTGTAGAAAAATATAAAATTTCTTAGTATTTTATAAGAATTACTGCTAGATGGATAACAGGACTAAGTTAGTAGAAAACTAGCCTTTTTACCTTTTTTTGTTGTTCATTATAACTACCATTGGGGGTGGGGGATTCTTTGTAATTTAAAAGCAGGATATACAACTGGAAAAAGTGAGATCATTACAAGTTGAATCGACAATATCTGGGGCCATGCTCAGCTTTCTGTCAAACTTAGGTCGTAGATTGATTCAGTCAACTAAGAAATAGTCTTGAAGCTTGATGGGAACCCTAAGAAATATATAGCCTATGCAGTGTGATGGATGGTTTTCAGTTTTCACACTGCTATTGTTATAAAAGTTCCAATTATCATTGTATCATTTTGGAGTAATAATAGGATTAAGTTCCATTGGTATTACCCAAATTGAGGGTGTTATGTTAATTGTGAATTTCAGGCCCAGATATCTATTCTAACTTCTGGCCATTCTAAATGAGGTGTGTGTATGATTTCATCTATATAGGCAGTGAGCCCGCATCCTATATTGACTATGTTCCCTGAACAAATCTTGCACACACACATACAAACATGTATTTTCTGATTGTCAGGTGGAAAAAGGTGAATAGGTTTAATGTCTAAAATCATGGCACCACGTAACCTATTATAGTGTTTGGTAGATTGGTAAAAGCACGAATAACCCTTCCACTACTTGGACCCTAATTTACTATATAACATCGTGAAAATAATATGAAAGCAGAACTGCTTGTGCTGATCTTCATCTTTGTTTTCCCTTCAGCTTCTAGTGGCCTGAGGGTAATAGGGCTACGGTAATTTTTTGTGGGATTTTTGGTAAGATTATAATGATGAAAGATTAAATGATCCTCAAGATTGAGACAGCCCGAGTTTAAATTTTGTATATCATTAATTTCAAATATCTATGCTTGGGTGCGGTAATAGTGAGATCTTACTATCTTACTTTTTAAGCTTTTAGTTTAGGATACTCTTAAGCATTTTCTTTTTAAGCACGCGATCATAGATTATGCTTATATTTATCATCAATTAGTCTTGAGACTATTACTAGAATAATGAATAGTTTCTAAGAATTTTCCAGCAGGCAATTAAGCTTGCGAAACTTTAGATTTTACATTGAAAATGTACCGAGGGTACATAGCATTTTATCTTTTGTTCAAGAACCGTGTACTTTTTGCCTGATGTGTTGTATTTGATATATCGTCTTTTGAAAACGGATTACTGTCAGCCTGTTGTTGGTTTTAGAGACTTTAATTTATCTGCTGACCATGCAAGTCTAGAGAATCAAAATGTGGGATCGGCTTTTTGCTTTGCCTGTAGCTGCTCGACAAACTAGTCATAAGGAAGTTATTGCTTTACTAGAGGCTAGCAATGAGGGTTCTCGGGAATTAGCTGTTGTCCCTTCATCATGATAATACCCGCTTCTACGTAGTCTTTACTTTTCTCAATCGAGGAAAAGCCTAAAAGTTCTGAGAAATAAGTCTGTATTGGCAGAACTGTTGTAAAATACTTTGCTTCCTTGTGTTTTAAACCATAGCTGGCATTCCATTAGTTGGTGATCGCTGCTTGCCAAGCTACATTTAAGAGTTCTGTTTGCAGATGAATAATTATCCTTTTTAATGAAATAACCATTGTAAACCTTTGATTTGCAGAGTGCTTCTCACTTTTTCGTTACTTGCATTAAGACTCGTCTCAAATCTGTGGCTGCAAAGCTGAGGAAGAATGAAGAGAAGATGGTGAAATGGCCAAAGTGTAAAGAAACTCGGGGTCTCATCCCGATACAAAATAAGCGAATGATTAAAACCGAATGTTCTGGATGTGAGTATGTTTAGTAAGTGTAATACCTGTGTTGACATCTTCTGGAAGAAAAAAGTGCATGTTATCCAAAAAAAAAAATGAAATTCAATGACTGATATATAAGCTCCTCCCACTTTACCCCCATTTCTCCATTTGTTAATGTTTCCTAAAGAAATAGAAAAAAGATGGTTTCTTCATAGTACCTCTTGAATTGGAAAATAAATGGTTATTCTGATGCCTATTTATTGAATTTATATGCTATGCTGTATTTTGTTTTCCCCATTTCTTTGACTAATGTATCAAGATCGGTTTTGCATCAAATTACCTTATATGTTTGTTATTTAATTTTAAATTGTGTGGGGTAAATTATACTAGGCAATAGGGAGAATAAAATTCAATTTAATTAATTTTTTTAAACAAGCCTAGTGAGGACATTACAAGTAAAACAAATGTAATAAACACATTACATTCCTGCTGGTGGGGGACTAAGGCGTGCATGCCCTGGCTGATTTCATTATCTACTTCTGGTTGTTACTTCCCTTCTGTTTCTTCATCAGAGTCACGAATTTACGCAGTAAAGCCTTCATCTTCTCTTGCTGATTTGACGGTGAGTTATCCACTTCCTGCACAAGGGATTTTTTTCTCAGGTTCTCTTTCTCGGGAAAATTCTTTATTTTCAATTTTGCAGCTCTCCCACATGTCGAATTCAACCTTATCTGAATCTTCCTTGTTTCGTTTTGTCTCAAATTCTTTCACTTGTCCATTTGCATTCTCCACTTCAGCATCATCTGCCTCCGGGGGCTGTTCCGATGGGAGTTCTAACTTTGGATTCTCTTCACTTCCGTGATAGTAGTCATTTTCACAATTAGTAGCTTCTTCTAACAGCTTAGATAACTCATCAGCTTTCTTAAGAGAATCAGCTTCCCTAGCTTGGAGTTCCCCATTCTCTCGAACCACACACTGCAGTTTGGTTTCTTTATCCAACAAACTCTCCTTCAGTACCGTGCTCTCAGTCTTGACCTCCATTAAAGCTTCCTGCAGATAAATCACCTCAGATTCAACTTGCTTTAGGCCCTCCTTCAATTGATCAGCTTCATCATCAGATTGTTTCAAATATTTTGGTTCCCCATTCTGGCATTCGTTCTTGGACCGTTCAATGGCAATTGTAAGAAGATCAATCTGTTTTTTCGCATCACCGAGCATCGTTTCGTACCTCTCGTTCGTTGCTGTCGGGGCCGATCTTAGATCTTCTAACTTGGTTTCGTAATCTTCATGCTCTTTTTCACTTGATAAAAGCTTCTCCATGGCCTCCCTTGATTCTGCTGAAACTTGATTCAAGACTGAAGCTAAGCTTTCCATTGCTTTCTTGCTCTTCTCGATCTCATCCCTCGAACATTCCAACTGGTCCATAAGTTTGGTTTTCTCTTCTAAAAGAGCTTGAACACTGGAAGCTGCTATCTTTTCATTATTTAAAGCTCGGGTCTTTTCTTCCATGGCCGTTTTTAACTCGGACTTAAGAGACTCGACCAATTTCTTCACCTCTTTAGTTTCTTCCTTGGCCTTATTCATACATTGTTGTGATTTCACAAGGTCCCCTATTTGTTTATTGATTGTCACTTCCAATAACCCCGCCTTCTGTTTAAGAACAGTGATTTCAGATTTTGCGTCGAGCAATGAATTGTTGTTGCTCTCTAATTGCCTCATGACCAAGTCAAGAGAATCAGAAGCAGATATCTGTAACGTCTTTGCTTCTGCGATATGCATTCGTAGTTCTTGGAACCTTTTCTTCCATTCTCCTACTACATTGAGCGCGTATGATTCGGCTATTCTTGCGGCTTCGAGATCGACATTAAGTTGTTCGATGAAAGCCTCCTTTTCCATCAGCTTCTCCTCATAGGCCTTTGCTGTCTCAAGTTGTTGTTTCAATGACTCTATCTCGTCCTTGCACTTGATCACCATTTCCTTATTTTCGTTAACCTCTTTTTCGTGTTCCGTACCAATCAATGAATTCAACCGAACCAATTCGGCTGAAAGAATGCCGACCTCCTCGGCGTGGATTTCAGCTATCTTGGTTGCATCATCAGCACGGTTCAGAGCCTGGTTCTTGGCATCACAAACCATGGCTAGCTCTTGCTTCACCCTTTCAAGCTCCTGGATGGTAGAGCAAAGTGTAGCCACATCCATAGCATGCCGGTTCTTTATGGATTCGATTTCATTGCGCCATTCTTCATCTTTCTTCTGTGCAGCTTCGATTCCTGCCTGTTCCAACTTGGCGGTCCGGAATTTCTCGATCTCCAATCTCTCTTCAGCTCGCATTTGTGATACTAAAGCCTCTTTAAGCTTTTCATTTGCTTCTTCAGCTGCTTTATGTGCTTCTTTCAGTTCATCAATTGCTTGTGCCTTTTCTTTCTCGATCAATGATATATGTTCCTTTGCTTTCTTTAGATCCTCCTGGACGGAGTTAAATTGAGCCTGCAATTCCAATCCCTTGCTCGCTCGTGTTTGTGATTTCTAAAAATCAAAACCAAAAACATGAATAAGAAGAAATACGGTGATATTTATTCGACGTCATTGAAAAAATTAGTACACTTACTTCAGATGGCGTAGCAAACCTTGGCGATCCCCGACCACTCGTCGGTTTCAAGTTAAGGGGTGATCGCGGAGACCGATCGACTGAATTGCGTGCACCTTTCAATGATTCTGGCTCCACCCTTGTCGACCTCCTATTAATTGACAGCTTCGAGTTAAGGGACGACCATCGAGAATGATCAACTGTAGGCTTCGAGTTAAGGGGTGATCGCGGGGATCGGTCGACTGAATGGCGTGTACCTCGCAAGGAAGAGGGTGAACCAGGTTCTGGTTTATCCAGAACCCTGCTTAGTTTACTAGGCACTCGCGGTGTAGCTGGTGAAACCTTGGTATGAGCTGCAGATCTGTTTCCACGTTCAAAGTGTCGTATTTCGAGCAAAATGTCAAATTCCCATGATTTAAAGCACATAATGCAAAGAATATCAACAAAATGAAAGTGGAGACCAAATTAAAGATGGATCTAACACAAAAACATTCAACTTTCCCCCTATAATATTTAGCATGATCAAGTTACTCTGTTACATTAACACATGTAAAGATATGCATTTCAAAGTAACAAATTTGAAAAAGATTATGAATGAACAAAATTAGTTAAAAACTCGAATTTTAGCATAATAATCAAAGGAAAAGAGAGCACAAAAACCAGCCGGATGTAATCTAAAACAAAAAGTAAGTAAGAACAAAGTTTGAAATCATGGAGAAATATAAATGCACATGAAGAAACGAGTGTAACATACTTGGTTTTAGTCGCCATGAGGTCCTTTTTAACAAGGGAAGACAAACCAAGAGAAAAAAACTTGGATTGAATCTGGTGTTAGCTAAAATTCTGCCATTTTTGAAGAAGAAAATGCACCTTTTGTTAGCTATTGATGTGATATAAAAATCAACTGTAAAGAAAGCAGAAACGATGAATGATTAAGTAAATATAGAGCACAGCACAAAGCTTGAAATTATATATATTTAAATATGAATAATTTTTATAATTTGGATACCATCACAACACATAAACATAAATTAAGAATACAATTATATTGTGCCCACCCCCTACTTTCTCTCTACTTTTACCTTCAATTTCTTGAAACCCTAAAACGATAAAATTGAATTGAAAATTATTAAATTAAATTAGGCGGGGCTTTACCAAAAAGAATTTGTGTCCCAAAATCTGATATCCTGCGATTGTCTAATCCGAACTATTGATCGGTTCCAATCTCCCTCGCTTATAATCTTTCTTTTTTTTTTTGGTTTGGGGAATTTATTGTGAAATTAAAACTGTGGGTTTAGGCTAAAAATGAAGTGTATTTGTTATTTAAGGTTGTTTTGTGTGCCATATTTTCAAGGGGTTGAGTCCTTCGATCTGTCATTTGCTTTCATTACCCAAATATGCAAACTTTAGTTTTCATAATTTTTTAGTTAAGGTCCTAAAATTTATTATTACCCAAATATGGTTTTTATTCTTTATTTTTAATTTCCAAGTATTTTTATTTTTAGTTTGTACAAAGAAAAATTCCCATCTTCCATTTGTATCTAAACAATACTTATTTAAACGAAAATTCTAATTTTATTTAAATCAATATCTAAACAAAAATGTTTATTAATAAGTATATGTCTCTCAGAAAAATAGTTATTTAGACCAAAACAAACCTACCCCTATTTGAAAGGAAAAAATAGGGTAAACTATTCTATTGGTCATCGTGTTATTATCTCTCTCTTATTTTAGTCACCATATTATTTCTTTTTATAATTGATAACTAACATTACATTTTTTTCTATTTTGATCACCGGCAAAATATTATTTACTTCAGTCTATTAATTTAAACTTGTAATACAACCGAACTCCGAACTCTAGCCCTGGTGATTCATATAATCATTTGATCATAATATATGGAATTAATGTCTAAGACCATGACACTGATCCAGAGGGAGGGTAAGCTTTTGGGGTGACTATTTTCAGGAGTATTTTTACTTCTTTCACCACAAGAGAAAATGGTTAAAAAAGAACGAAATATTTGATTCAGGATTGAATTTGCCAGTGCTAGGTGGTTTATATATGTGTTGAAACGGATGCTGTAAGCAGGCTATAACAAATTAAGAAGAGGGTCAACCTCATTGAACAACACAGGAAGAACAACCAAAACACGACAGGAACACAGAGTATCAGGTGGCACAACCCAATTCTCGGACAGTTAGCATTTAGATCAAGAACAGAGTTTTGTAGAAATATACAGAGCTAATCTTCAGACGAGATTCAGTTGAATGAGGGAGATAGCACGTCAATCATCATCGTATGAGACATGAAAACTGGTGGTGCAGCCAAAAGCCTCAGGGTCCTCAGCCCCACAGCAGTCGTAGAACTTGGCAGCATCCGGCTGATCATCAGGTTTCAACTCATAGTACCTTCAATCAACCAAAAGAGGTAAACGTTAACTAGAAAACATCTGTCCTTGTGTCACACAGTTGGAGAAAGAGTAAAACGTGTTCAATGAACTTGTAAGAAAACATTAGGCTAAAAACAAGGATATAGTTCCAAAGCTGAGTAATTTGGTTTTCTACATGAACTGCATAACACATCAGTAACATAACAAAGGGAAACACATACACAGGCACACTTGATACACTGTAGCATCTCTTCATCGCAAAGTCTCTAATGTGTACTCATAAACACGATGAGAAGGGCATTACCATTTTTCTCATGGCAAATGCTACCTCTCTCTCTCACGCACTCGCACACACACAGATGCACTCAAAGCAAAAGCATTATAGAATGGTCATGACATTGCAAATAACTTTTATTTCAATTGAAAAGTAGACTTGTATTAAAGCAGTAATAATTTGTTCTAGAATACGACATGTTATGCATGTAAGTATGCACTATGCAGAGTCCTCGATAACATGAACCGAATTCAAACACGTAGCAATACCTTACATTTATGATTTTTGCATTCAGATAACAGAATCAAGTGATGCAACTTTCTATCGAAGAGAGTCCATTACAAAGGATTGTAGATATGGTCTCTTCAAACCAGAACCACAGATAGAAGCAGCAGGCTAACAAGAATGATTAGTTCCATTACCAAGAAACCTTTCTGAAATCCAAAGTTGTATGAAGAGCACCATTACCAGATATAGGTACTCATCATACAACTTCAGAATTGAATCCCTGATCCAAATCATAGATCATATAAGATTCAATTCATGAAGCCTATGTTCCTAGGCTATGGTAGTATGCTTCAAGAATGTTATTAGTGCATGGGCAGTGGATTTTTTCTTAAAGTAGTAAGTCACCATTTAAATTACAAATGAAAAGCATGGATAAAATTTAAGAGTTCAGATATAAGTAGAATTCTCTTTGGGGTCTTTAAGTTTTTTTTCCTTTTCTTCTGAAAAAAATGAACTTTTTATGTTTCAAGCAAAAGTACTCCATTCCTTTCCTAACATGTGAACCGAAAGAAAACTACCCTTTTCAAATTATATTCTAGATAAGTAGAGATTTGCATTTTCCAGTTTCTGTCCCTAGTATCAGACTGATCCACATTCTAGTTAATACTAGTCAAATGTCAGATGAAGTGGAATGAGACTCATTTATTCAACAGAAGGAAAAAAAATCAAGCCCTGGTGAAAGAGTGAATTGATTTGGTCCTACTATACGTATAACCATTTGAAAGCTTCACAAGCATTCTAGATGGCACCTTCTTGCAGTAGTTTGCTAAGAGTGGTTCATCAATTTTTGCAATTACGGTGATCTTGCCCATCTAATGAGGGTTTAAAATGATTGGGTTTGGGTAGTAGTAATCACCGAATGAGCAAAGCCATCTTTTCCTTTCAAAAATAGAACCAGTCCAGCATCTATCACTTAGACTGCACACTTAAACTCAGTGGCAATCCACCTGCTTGTTCAAACGATTTAGTTCCCGAATTCGGTTCCTATATGACTATCTTAAGTTTACAGGGTCTGTTAATTTACATCAACTTTATTCACTAAACATTCTCTGTACTCAGTTGAATACCTATATGAACCTCACTCTTGCAACAGACACACTAAGCAGAAATGCGACGGAAATTCAAAGTGACCGATACACCCCGCTAACCTTTTCCTTCAGTTTGTTTATAAAAAAATAAAAATAAAAATAAAGGAAATCCAAGTGGTCCTCGCTTGCCAAGGACTCAAACCTAAAGGTTCCTAATTAAACTAAGCTAAGTTAAATCATCATCATCCAATTTGTAGATTTCTCAATTTCTAGGACCAATACGAAGATGGAAAATCTTGAAATCAAAATCAATTGCACATTATAGCCTAATTTCAAATGGAATTTTAAGTAAAGAAGTTAAGACAAAAAGAAAATTAAACAATAAAAACAAGGTCATTAGTATTCAGAAAAACTATCATTCAAAAGGATCAAATGGGTATACAAAATCATTAAAAAGAGAAAATGCGAATTACCCATCTCTAGTGCACAAGCCGATCATAATTAAATTAAATTAAAAAAGGCGAAAATCATTCAAATCAGATAAAAGGGTATCCAGGATTACTCTCCATTTTTTTAAATCCAATTATAAACACGAAGAAAGTCACATAGAAGGAGAAAAAGGAGTGGGAGGATACCTCTTTTGGTCGTCATGACGACGACAAACAAAGAAAGAAGGATGGAAACGGCACGAAGAGGAAGTGTTAGAAGATGCGGTGTAGCTCTTTTTGCATCTCTTGCATATCTTTTCTTTTTCTTCCTCCATTTCTTTCTTCTCTTCCATGGCTTCTCTGCCAGTCGGGCAGGAGCCAAATTTATGAAGAGCCCCCCCCCCCCCTCAAAACAAATTTATTTAACTCAAATTTAAATCCTTGATAGTTTGAGCAATCAAGTGGTGGTAAAGTAACTGTTGATAGTTTGAATATTAACGAAATTAAGCTTTCATTCTTTACTTCACATCATTATTAAAAATATCAGGCAAACATCATCGTTAATTTTTTTTAACGAGGGTTATTAAAATAAAATTAAAACATGATTTTTAAGTATAATTTTAAAAAGAGAAAATAACCTCATAGACCAAAAGTCCCATATAATATACGATTTTAACCAATTTTTTTCGGATTTGCCAAAATGACCAACAAAATCGCAATGTGATCGCTAATTCGCAACGCGATCTCCATTATCGCAAATCAGTTTCCAGATTCGCAACGCGATTATGACTATCGCAATGCGATTTTCCAATTTCGCGTTGCAATTTTCTCAATTCGCAATGCGAATAAGTAAATCGCAATGCGAATTTGGAAAATCGCAATGCGAATTTGGAAAATCGCAATGCGAATTTGGAAAATCGCAACGCGATACTGACTATCGCAACGCGATACTGACTTTCGCAACTCGATACTTAATTTCGCAACACAATACTGACTTTCGCAACGAGATAATACATAATCGCAATGCGATTTTCAAAGCGCCATTAGTATCGCAAAGCGTAGTTTATTTTCAAATTCCAAACACGAATATTAATATATTGGAACACTGAACCGTCCACAGTATATCCCGTAATCGCAACTCATAACCTAAAACCTAAAATCACAACTCAGTCTCATCTCCATCTCTCACTCTCTCACCCATCTCCGACGAAATTCGTCCCCATCTCTGGCGAAATCCGTCTATCTCCATCTCTCAGAGCCACCCTCACAATCAGAAATGGAAAATCAACCAAATCAACCACCGAGGGTTAGTTTTTTTAATTATTTTCTTTTTGAAATTTTTGTATTATTATTAGGTTTTTCATATTGAAATTAATGATAAGTTTACTGGTAATTTCAATAATAGATTAACCATTTCACTTAGATTGCTTATTAAATCAACCGAGAATCGCAACGCGAAATGAAAATCGCAACGACAAAATCGCAACGCGATTTTATTCTCTCGTTGCGATAGTCAAATTCGCGTTGCGATTGTCATTTTCGTGTTGCGATTTTCATTTTCAGAAACTATTCTTCTTCTGCAAATTGAAACTTGAATGAATTGCATTACTTCAACCAAAAAACAAAGACAAATAAGAAATTCACAGTGTTGCAAATTTAAGTTTGAAGAATAAACTACTACTCTTTATGTTTATTATTGTTTTTGGTATATATTCACAGTGTAGTTTTTGGTATATCTAACTTAGTATGTTTATTGTTTTTGTAGAACTTTTATTCGGCTCAATTGACTTTAAGAAATAAAGTCAGCCTGGCCAAAATAATTGCGTCGAAGTTTTCACCAGCACAAAGAAAAATGTTTGAGGATACTTGCTTCGGGCCATGGCTGAAAGTACAACATCCCGGTGGAGATGCGATGTTGACACACCTGTTTCTTCAAACCATGACTATGGATCTACCAGATACTATACAACGTCGTGATGAAGAGATATGGTTTGATTTTCCACCGGCGTATACGTGTTTTGGGCGGGAGGAGTTTTGCTTAATCACCGGTCTACGCTTCGGACACGATGATGTAGGTCGGTACACTAGACATATTACCCGCCCATCATGGTTATCCCGGGTTTTTCCTGAGCTGGAGAGGCCGAATCTACACGTGGAAGACCTGACGATATTATTGAATAAGAAAGATGGTTTTACTCGGATGAATGACGTCGATGTTGTCCGAGTATGCCTTCTAATACTTTTGCATGTCGGCTTTTTAGGCAGAGAGGCCAGACAACCTATTCCGAATGATCTAATCAAATTGGTAGAAGACCTAAATGCGTGGAACCTGTTTCCGTGGGGCTTGTATTTATGGAAAGCTACATGGAATAAGTTATCGTCTGCCTTGGATGATCGAAAAAGTTTGCATGGCGATGGTTCGAAATACACTTTGACATGCTTTATTTGGGCCTTTAAGGTAAGAATTTTTATATAATGTTTCCAAAATTATAAGTAATTATTTAACAATTACTAATGTTTGTTATTATATTGTTTGTAGATTTGGATATTTGAGGCCTTTCCCGCCATGAAGACATATGCAATAAAAACTTCAAATGATATTCCCAGGGCTATTTACTGGAAGAGGAAACGGACCTTGCAATGGGAAGATTTACTACGGTATACGACAATAAATAATGTAAGTTAACATAAATACTACCATATGTTTATAAACAAGTTATTACTAGTACACTTTTAACTTTGTTTGAGCTTTTATATTGTTAGGAGGCCAACACTCCATTACAGAGGCTGACACCCACGGAAGCTGAGCTTGCCACTGATTGGTGGCAAGCTAGTAAGCGTTTTTTGATGGCACGGATGATGAGCAGCCTCCACTTCGGGAGCCATCACCTCACCCAGAGCTATCACCTCACCCAGAGCCATCACCTGATCGACCCGACTATACACCTCCACAACGACAACCATCACCTATTCTATCACATCATCGAGCCTCTTCTCCACCATCACCGCAAGATAGGCGACCGACAAAGATGCCACGACGTTTATCTCCCTGTTCTCCACCTCCACCTCCACGGGATGAGTTAGGAGAGTTACGTGATGAGGTCAATGCCTTGCGTGAGGAGGTCGGTACTTTACGCAAAGACGATGGTGCATGGCGTGTTGAGGTGTCTGCTTTACGCGGTGAGGTAGCCGCTCTACGTGAGATGGTAGCATCGTTGCAGAATGAGGTTCATACTCTACGCAACGAGGTAAGTTTAAGATTTTTCATATTTAACTTGATGATAAATTTACTCGTAATTTCACTTAGATTAATCATTTCACTTAGATTGCTTAATAAGTTCATTCGGTTGCTGCCAATACTGCTAAACTATTTTTGTTAGTATTTGTTTTTGGTTTTGTTTTTGTCTTTTGGTTGAAGTAATGCAATCCATTCAAGTTTCAATTTGCAGAAGAAGAATAGTTTACTTTCACAACACGAAAATGACTATTGCAACGCGGAAATGGCTATCGCAATGCGAAATGAAAATCGCAACGATAAAATCGCAATGCAAAATGAAAATCGCAATGCGATTTGTGTTTCGTGTTGCGATTTTTTCGTTGCGATTTTCATTTCGCATTGCGATTTTGTCGTTGCGATTTTCATTTCGCATTGCGATAGCCATTTCCGCTTTGCGATAGTCATTTCCGCATTGCGATAGTCATTTTCGCGTTGCGAAAGTAAGTTTCGTGTTGCGAAAGTAAACTATTATTCTTCTTGAATGTTTATATATGTTGTCCTTTTAAATGTTTATATAAGTGCTTACTTCTGGAATGTTATCTGATGCATTTTGTGAACTATGATAGAATAATGACTTGGGTGAATACAATGCAAGTTTGAAACATATTTGTCTTTGTTTAATATCATGTCTGTTTATTTATTGATTTATGTATTAATTATTTTTTAGCGGCCCGATAAGGTGGATGCTTTACGTCGGGTTTTCCTTGCACGACGGAGTTCACGCATCAGACGGCGTGCACGTGCTATTACGTCTCCGTTCACCCCAATGGGACGAAGACTCCGCAAGAAGAAGCCCGACTCACCTGTCATCCCTCAAGAGTCCCCTCCAATCGTTCAAGAGGCCCCTACCATCCCTCAAGAGTCCCCCCCACCATTCAAGAGGCCACTGTCATCGTTGAAGAGGTCCCTCCCACCATTCCAGGGCCCGATTCACATGGGGTAATATATCAAATTATTGAGAAACCCCCACTATTGTCGGACATGATGGATGAGAGTTGGCTCTCGTATGAGTTATCGGCTAGTACCCTTTCGGTATCTGAAGTGGAGAGGAGACAACTACCGGAAATAATTCTGGATAATACCCTTTGGGCTAAGACCGCAGTTGATTTTTATCTACATGAGCGGAGCCAAGGGTGTTACATTGACATAAGCAAACTCAACGATGAGATGTATTTGTTACTTAATCGGTCTTGGTGGGGTGTGTTATTAGGGGTTGAAGACAGTGGCTATTTCGATGGGGAGGTAAGTCTTAAATTTGTCTTATATATGATTTTGATTAATTTTTTTAAAAATTAATGTAATTCACTAATATATGTCTTTTTTTTTTGTAAAACAACATATCGATGCGTGGGTGTCACGTCTTCTAATAATAAGGAAGCTTAGGAAAAATAAAAAAAATTTGCGATATACAATAATGCCGGCGGCTTTTCAGGCAGTTCACTTGAAGAATCAACGAGATGAATCATTTTCGTTGGGCAATGGACAAGCTAAACTTTATCCTGCATGGTGGGAGGTCGATAAGGTTAGTGTTTATTTTTTAAATTTTTTAAAGGTGTTCATAAATAAGTGCGCAAATAAATGAATTATTACTTATGATTGCAGGTGTTTATCCCTATTTTGGAACGTCGTCATTGGCTTCTCGTCCAACTTCAGCTCTCATCCCTGAAGATAATAGTATATGATAGCATGATAAATTACATATCACTGTCTGATTTGAGAGATATTATCAAGGGATGGAGCTCTCATTTGGCTAAATTCTTTGATGGGATTAATTATTGGACTCATTTTGGACACAAGAAGCTAAAGAAGTTCAATGTCACAGTTTTCAGAGACGAGACCGTGCCACAACAATCGCCGGGAGCCAGAGGGGATTGTGGTCCTCTCGTATGCATGTGCTTGGCGCGTTTGACGACGGGAAGCACAGAGTTTCTACCTCCCACCGATAGAGATAGAGCTGCAGTAGGCTTGTGGTTTCGGCATTATATGGCTAGAGCGATATATTCTAGACGTTGCCTACCTGCATCCGCGTTATGAAAGTATCCATTATTAATTGGTAGGTCAAATGCAAGTTTTGTTAACATATATACTCCTTTTGGTTTGAAAATGTTTGGTTAAGTACCTAGAATT